CATGAATATAGTGTCCTGTACCAATAGCTTCACTAACCATGGCGGCCCTTTTTCCGTTCCCATTGAGGGATGTGGTACAGAATCATAATATATACGCTTTTGGGGTTCTCTTTCTGGGTCCCGGCCGGTCCCGTGACTTGCTGTGTCGGCATTCAAGTGATTAGTGTCGAGAACGGGGCCTGCGGGTCCCTATCCAGTCCTAACCCTCCCCAGGATCAACTCCAAATCTTCAGCTTCCGTCCGTCCACTTTGTTAATTTACGTCCCGATTCCAAACCACTCAGAGGCTTAGTGCCGCGAACTCTAGCCCGGCGAATTGGCCGGGCGGGGGGGGGGAGGAGAAGATTAAGTGAAACTCTCTTAGCTATGATATCATTATGAATTATGGAACGAACCCCCCAATCTCAACACTCGGGAACCGAAACCAAAACCAAAGACATTCATACCCAAGGGCGAAAACTCAGATATAGACGTACTATCGTAGTGACCTCCATATCGCCTCGGCATACCCCCCCCTCCCCCCCGAATACAAGGCTCACCACCACCACCATTTGCAAAACCGAGTGACACACCATGAGCCACATCCGGGTAAATTACTCATCAAAACTTGGCCCAAGTGTGCGGCATCGTGGTCTCATACGATGCAATGCGCTGCAATGAGTAGATAAAAGTGTGGTACTTTCGATAAAACTGCTCGTAACTCACTCTGCTGCACTGTATCATACGGAAACGGATACTGTCTATATCACACATCGTATGGGCATAGCTGCTTGGCATATATGCAAGACGTACCGTATGATTGCGAAAGAAAGGCGGGGGGTGGGGGCTAGGATCATTGTGTTGGCCTTGGAGAGTGGCCGTGCGTGTATGCTGGGGAAGCTATCATCGGTATATATCTATCTACCTATCTGCCTATCTGCCGGGCCCTAGATCCCCGGGTTTTTTCCATTGACTGGTATACAGTACGGTCCCTCACAAAGTTCAATGTGGTAATTTTGGCGAAGGATTTTCTGATGGGTTTCGTTGATTGGTTCCGCAATGATGGGAAGAAGGCGATAGACTTGTGATATGGCATTGTATAATACGTGAGGCTTAACTTGCTTACTGAAGGGGAAGAGACGTGAGAGTTATTTACAAATTTCTTTTTCCCTTCTCTTTCTTCTCTTTTAGTATGGGTGTGGTTGCTGTACAAAGGCGGTGATGACGGGGACAAGGAAGTGGAAAGAGAGGGAGAAGGAAATAAAAAGAGAAACATGCGTATGGGCCATAAGTTGAAGAAATGAGGGTTTTCGACACCCTACCCCCCCTCCCTCTCCCGCCCTAGCCTGCTTGCAGCGTTTTCGCACTACGCTTTCGAGTGAAGGGTGAGTGAGGAAGGTAAGGGAAAAGGAATAACGAAGAGCGTCAATAATAAAATAAAAAACAAAAGAGTCTATGGCATCATAACGTCAATCGTTTCGTCGCTTCATGACCTAAATAGCGTGATTTCGTTGTAGCAGTGACAAAAAAGAAAAAACCCGGCCTTTAACAACTAAGGAAAGGCAAAATGAAAAATTTAACACGACAAAGGCGATCCAGAAGCGAAAATAGGAAAGAAGAGAAAAAGAAATGAAATAGGTACGATAGAAGTATTTGACTTGAAGGAATGGAATAGAAGGAGTAACTTGAAGCAAACGCCCGCCCTTATGAATGCATTGGAAAGAAAAAGTGACGAAAAGAAACCACTCTCCTGCTGCCATTCGGATATATGTGGGTGACAGAAAAAGTATTATACCAATAACGGCAGGAGTAGGAGGGAAGGATAAAAAACAGAACTCCGAAGCGCCTTCCTATATGCAACAACTCTTTATCCCTTGCGCGAGCTGCTCTGTGCTGTCGTCCACGGTAACCAATTTCGCTTGTCTGGTGCGCTCGCTTTCCTTGTTATTCTGGGGAACCTCCGCCACGAATCCGCTAACAAGGCCCCCAACTTTGTACAGGATGGACGTCTGGTTTTTGGTCGAGGGAACATCAATGGCAGGGTTTTTGGTGAAGAAATCTGCCGGCTTGAGGTGAATCTGATGCGTCTCGATTGGCCTGAGGGGGTTAGATTAAAACACGTCAGCGAAAAGTTAAGCGAAGAGCAGGGGAGTCAGAGAGCCGCTCACATGACCGGGAAATCTGTTTCACAAAGTTAGCCGAGTGATCAAACATGGCTGGGAAAGATAAACAAACCTTCCACCCTAGGGTTATGGGTTAAGCCAAAGGAGTGCCAGATGACAAGGTCCTCATTTTCGATATTTTCATTTCTCTCAATCATATCTTTGACGCCACCAGACTATAGAGTGATTAATCGTTAGTATAATATATCTGGAGGTAAATTTTGATAACAAACCTCAACTGAACTTTGATTGGTGAACCTGCCCGCTGCCCAGAACTCCCCGTCGCGATGTCTAGTGATCCATAAATGATGGCTTGCATACGCCATGCGCTTCGCCATGATGCTATCGGGGTGGGCTAAGGTAAGCTGGGACGGCGAAGGAACGAGCTTATATCCCACAGGCCTACCACTTATCGGGTTGCGGACATTCTGGTTGACAATCTTGAAGAGCCTGGCGTTATGTGGCGCCGCGTCTGCCCAACACGTCCTCTTAAACATTGTTTGTCTGACTTCATACGCATTTCCCCAAGGATTAAGTTCTGGAGTGAAAGGAACAGGATGTGACTCTTCCTGGATTACGGTGTTCTTTGGACCCTCAATCGCTGGGTCGATGCGCACACAGAATATGTGCTGATGGTTCTGCGCCAAAGCGCCCGGGCTGACAACATTACCCCATGGGCTGGTAGTACCTGGATCGATTGGTACAGTGCTAACAACACCTGTAGCTCTTGTCTCTATGGTAATCCCACCAGCTTGGTCGAAGTGATACGCAAAGATGTATTCGTAGTTGGCGAGAGTGATGATGAACTGCACAATCAATTTCCGGTTGCGGGTGACGACAGCGCGGTTTGTGCGGTAGTTTGTATGTTTCCACAGGATACCGTCGTCGACTTCGTGCATGCAAACAACATTTTTCGAGACAATACCCTTGCCGGAGGTGTCGTTCATGATCCCATCAAAGTACTGTTGACAGAGAGCATTTAAAACCCCTACTCTCAAAATTTCAAAGGGGTTACCACTTACCTTGATGAGGCCAAGGCAGTCGCAGCCGAGTTCGAGATTATTTGCTGCTCGCCCAGCTCCGCCGTCTCCAAAATCAAAGGCCTGTTTCCTGTGGAATGGTGCCCTGGGATCTCCATACGGTACGGACATCTCGCTGAAGCTCATGCGATAGAAAACACTCCTGTTGTCATACCAAACATCGTGTATTGTTGCGCCCTCACGAGGATTGAATCCGATCCTGAACCTCCACTTTTGCCACTCGACCAGTGACCCGGTAGTTGTGAATGATGGTCCGTAGGGCTGGATAACGTTAAGTGGTTTGACATCCTGCCTCAGCCCTCCTTCAACCAACTCTGGGATGTACTCCACAGCTCTGCAATGATCCAAAGCGTTTTTAGGACCAGTACCGGATTTGAGTCCATCCCCCCTACCACCAGTAGCTAATTTGTCAACTCGAATGATTTTCCTCTTGTAGATGTCCATCACCGGGATTAAGGGTATTGGGAATGCATAGTGATTTGAATCCGGGTTGTTTGTCTTGGGGTCACGGGCGTAAACCAGCCCTTGCATGTAACGAGGGCTTATTTCTCTAGGATTTTCCCAGCCCCCATACATCCATGGATCGATAACGATAACGACGTTCGCGGGTAGGTTCAGCTCAGCCAAAGCTTCCTGGAAGAGGGGTGAGGCCATTGCCACATCGGGGAAGATGGCAATTTCATCACTGCATTTATTTTAGACGCGAAAAGGGCTCGAAGGAGAGGAGTAAATCATACGCATTTAGAGGCGAGTGATACTTCTTTTCAATAAGATCAAAGCTCACTTCCTCCCCTAATGTCACATCCACCACCGAATCACATAACTCCAAAGAGCGATCCTCCCCAATGGCATCAAACAATACCCTCGCATGTCTCGGGGGCCTTCTAGTTCTATTAGTCACCTCTCTTCTGTGCTCGGCTTGTAAGAACGGCAATAATAAAACTTTTGCCGGTTCCTCCAAGGTTATCGTCCTAAATACAATGGACATCGAGGAATGGGCACGTAGGATAACATCGCGGGTTTTGTTGATCTCATCGATGGACAATTGGTCTAATGGATGCGGTGGGGGTGTCGAGAGAAAGATGTTAAGCTTTTCTGAGACTGTCTGTGTAACGGATCCTCTGGTTTCGGGTCGCATTGCTGTTGATTCCGGTGATACGGTTACAAGCGACTGTAAATTCTTTAAGGCGAAATAAATGGTTTGTGGGAGGGAGGAGCGACCAGCTTCGAGACCAGCAGGAGCTGTGAATTTTATCTATCTCCACAAGAAACTGAGGGTTGTATTGAGCTGGCTCCAAGAATTGGGGTTGCGTTGGGGTAGGGTTGGGTAAGGATTGGTAGGGGGGTGTTGTTGAAAGGGTTTTTCTGGGGGGGGGGTAGGATACCGTAGAATTTTGTAAGAATGAGGGTGGGAGAACGTGAATAGAAATCCCCCGACAAGCATGAAGCGAGAGAGGTGCGGAGAGGGAATGCTCGCCAGAGTCCAAATAGGCACCGCAAACGGGCAGGTCCATGCTGTAAAACGCTGCTGGAGATCCCAGGGCAGGCTAGTAACTCGTTGGGTAGCCACAGCCGAAGCTTTGAGAGCGTATGATAAGAAAAGACTGAGGGAGGGAAAGTACTCAAAGTAACAATAGAGTGGGAATAACGCCCTGCGCTGGATTCTCCTCAACTAGAATTCTTCCTCTCTGTATGGATTTGACCCGTTGGTTCACTCGCCTATACTCGAGTAGAACGAACCTTTTCTCGCCCACCCGCTTTCTTCATAACAACACCTCGAATTGCAGCCTGACATCCTGTCCAATCCATTCACTCCATCCGTCTAATCCTAATCCTATCCAACTATCCCTCCATTCCCCACTCCCCGCTCCCCCACCCTCCTCCAATCATCCATTCATCGTCATCCTATATGCGTTGTGTCCAGTGAACCCATTCTATACCCTCCATCCTCTTCCTTCTCTTCCTTCTCTTGTTATGCTTTGACTGTATTGTACATACGGTACGTTAAATACGCTCCCGAAACTCCGAAATCGCTCATTGCCGGGCCCTTTACTTTCCAGTAACCAGAATACCGCCGATACCCCCAGCTTTTTGTGTACAGTGTGCTTGTCATGTCGCTCCTCAACATCCTCCCCGGAGACAGCATCTCTTTAGACCTTTCCCTATCCAGCCAGCTCTCATGCAAAGCAGTGAAGCGTGGCCTGTGTTACCGACCCTGAAAAAGATGCAATGTATGCATGATACTGGTAATTGTGTGTAGAGCAAAAATTAATTCCCCAAAACATCGTATTATTCCACGTGAGGCTAACATTTGGGGCCGGTCAATCACACAAGTGATCCCCACGTCCAATTGGATCAATTCCGATCTGTATTCAGCGAAACTTGCTTAACGCCCGCCACCCAGAAGCTCTCCAATGGTTTTCGATATCTGGGCCGAGCAAAAAGCTGGAGGAGGGGGCAAAACAAGTCGGAAAAAATGAAAAAAAATGAGAAATGGCCCCCAGGAGAAAAAAGTGGGAAGGATGGCGGGAAAAAAAATGAATGAAGGCCCCTAGGAGATCATCGGGCAGCAAGCCAATAAGCCGAGCTGCCCTATAAGTGAAGCTCTCCGATGCAGCTAAATCCAGCAACGTCTAAACCCTTTCCAAAGAATGCACTGCTAAACAGGGTCGCCACGCAAAAGATCGAGACTCCACAAGAAAATAAACTATAGTAGCGAGTATGTAGTAGAATTGCAACGCTGCGAATAGAATCGGAAACTGTATTTGGATATGGACGAGCGACATGCAATCAGTGAGCTCGGTATGGGATGTGGATATCGCATATCGCCGGCAGAAGGGCCGCTGCAACTGGGATATATTTCAACCAGAAGTTTGACAAAGACCGCCGACATCTCCTCATCCCGCGCGTAAGAGCAAGAGAGCTAGGTGAAAAAAAGAAAAGAAAACAAGAATCACCAAAACAAAAAAGAGCAAATACATCTTCTTACTCACAACATGCTTGTCGCATGATGGTACGAGCAGAGGGGGGGATTCGGATGTAGTCCCAGGATGTACCCTTATCACGAACACCGTTCCCCCCCTTTCCCCTCCTAGAGCGGGCGGCGGCGGTGGCAGAAAACACAAGGGCATCGATGCCAAATAATGCTACAGAAGCAAGCCGCCGCAATTGAAAACCCCCACCGCGCAGGAATTAATTGAGGCAGGAGATCTGTAGATAATAATCTGCAAGGCGAGAGTCTCATGCGATGTGCACCACCGGAACCTCAGCAGAGACGTAAAAGGGTTCGAACGAAGTTCAGCCCGCTTGGCGCTCACGGTTGTACATACCGCGATGTAAAAAGCCCAGGCAAGATGTTCCACCAGAAAAAGATGCGTTTGCATTTGCAGCTTCAGGGCCACAATGGGAATCACTGCAACCATTTCGGGGAGAGTTCCGGTGAGAATCCAAGAGGCTCATCGATCCTGGGTTAAATCCTCTAGGCGCTTCATGTATTAGTTAGCCTAGTGTGAGAGGAAGGAGGGGTCTGAGTTGCAGAGCTAAATGTTGATGTTCGCAAAAGCGATCCTTTAGGCGAGGAGTGCTTATGTAACAAGGTGTGGACTGTGCGTTTTGAGGATTGTGGTTAAGCCTTCAGCATGTTTTGCAAATGCTTTCCCACTCATTAAATTGTAATTTATTATTATCCTGGCGCTGGTACGGGAATGGCAAACATTGATAATCACGGCGGAAGGGAAGAAAAAAAGAATTCACTTCAACAGGGTGCTATCATAGTTTGGTGAAAATGGGGGCTGATTCGCTGTTGCTGGTCTAAGTTACTCCTATCTATCATACTCGAGCACAAACGCCGAACTGTATCATAAGGTAAGGTCATAGTGCAATGAGGATGGTGTTTGTCCGCGTTCGTTTCTTTCACCCTCAAACTATTCGAGCACAACTTCCAATGTAGATTTAGCGCGTGCTAGCACTGCGGTCATAGGATATCGCGATCAGCCAATTGCATGGGGCCCGCGGTGTTTGGACCCGTCCGCTCCAGGGTCGTGTCAGAAGTAGTCTAGTCTAAACTTGAATCAAATTGATAGCCTCACAATCAGGAGAGTCTTCTTACCTAAGTTACCTACGATACGAGTATTACTGGTACATACCGTACTGTACCCCTCTGCTGAGTTAGGGAAGAGGAGGGGATAGCATTGATATACCTTGCCCGATCTGGGCTTACTCATTTGTTCACATGAATTGTTGCCATAATTGGAAGGTACAGGCGGATTCACGTCTGCTGCTGGTACAGTACCGGTACTCATACACTATAGTACCAAATCAAAATGAATTTCCAGGCCTAGTTTATTGTAGGATACCTTACGATACTTGTACTCGAGTACATGTCAACAAACTCGCTAATTTCTCTCGTATCCATCTTCGGGCTCCAGGACAGACGCAAGCTGCCGTCTCCTTTAGCCTTAGGAGTTTACATGGATCGGTACTCCACGCGGCACCCAAGCGTACCAACGGTAGAGGACAGGTTGATTGTCCGATTGCACACACCCACAGCACTCACCCACAGCACTCACCCACTCACCCACACACCCACACACCCACACACTCAATTTGCGCTGTATGGGGGGAAAGGGGGGAAGGAGGAAAAGGGTACGGTACGGTGGTCGGGCGAGCCTTACGGTACTTATCCATGCATTCGGCGACGTTTACAGTGTAATTTTGTGCCCCGGTGCCAGCTTTCCTTTCCTTCTTTCTCCCAATTGCCCAAGAACAGCCGTCCGCCTCCCGTCGTGGATCGCCAGTTGCGTGATGTTCCTTCTCGTGGCTGTCCGCGCCATCTACCCTTGCCATCCGTTTATAACTCGGCTCAAACCTATGAAGAGATGATCAAACGGGAAATTCAGGGTCCAGTTTCTAGAGAGGTGTTTCACTGGCCTGGAAATCACGGCTACTGCAATCTTCTCACTTTGCCTTTCTTTCCCTCTCTTTTTATCTACCTTTTTTCCTGCTTATGCATGGTCTACAAAGGACGGACTGTCATCACTAAAGCCGGCTGTGCCTCTGGAGAATAATGCCTCTTCAGGAGTTAAGGATGGCCTTACTGTACCTCGAGTTATTTCGCATGGCCACAGCAATGTCCATTAGACCCCGCTTCTCCGAATACAACGGACGGATTGGCAGACACCCACGCAATTTTTTTCCCGGCTTGGGAAATTTTATCTCTTCATAGCTAACTCCGCTACGGTACCGGTACTTAAGCTCTCCTCGTTGCTAATTCTACGGCAGAGTTGTTGTCGTACTCGTATCATAATGGTCTCTCCGACAGGTAGACTATTCAGTAAGGCAAAAAGTTGCTTCCACTGACTCCGAAGTGCTGTATCATGCGGTACGAAACACTTGGGTACCTGATCTTGACTCAAACAGAGAAACTCGAGATTTGAAATCATATCAGGTTGGTAGTAAGGCTGCATATTGGCATGGTCATATCCGCATGGCGACAAAGATGGGAAGCCATCAACAGGAATGGACAGACGGATATTTGGCCGGCTAACCTCGAATAACTGTTCCATAATTTCTTGCCACCCTTTGCACCAGCATATGATAGGTCTGTTGTAGCGCTTGGCAACGCTCCAATGACGAACAAAAGATCCACGACAACGCTTGGGAGCTCTCGACTCGTATAGGTATGTTGTGAAAGGCGGCCAGACGCGGGCCGCCTCTTGTTGCCCGCCTTCGGTTTTGTTGGATCCTTGGAGGTTGGGTCGACTCAACATGGTTCTATTGCCAACTCAGCATCAAAAAGCAAAGAAAACCCAACTGGTGGGAAAAAAGATACATAACGGGCTGCCCCAATGTGCTCGTACTTCCTGTACTCGAGTAGAATCGGGTCACAGAACCACGCACAGCACTGGTACTTGAGTACTCGAGTACTCGTACAAAACTGTGCGGTGGCGTACTCTTGCACAATGAATTCCCGGACACTGGATGGGGCATCCGATCCGCCGGCGTCTACTCGAGTACCCGGCGCGAATGTGTTGTTGAAAGGGGGCGACGTGACCGAGAGTGAAGTATGGTACTCGTACATACACAACGATACTCCTCTCTCCCAACAATGGTGGTGGCGATGGTGATGATGATGTGGGT